CCTTGAGTATCATACTGCTGATGGTTTTAGCAAGATTTCTAGTGTGCTTGGTGTTCCTCTCTGTATGGACCAGGCTACCTGTTTTGGTAATCAGGTGGGGGTTGCAAAGATCTGTTTGGAAATTAAGGTTGGTGCGCAGTTCCAGGAGTCTATCCAGGTCCAGCCTGAGGGGGAAGTGACTTTCTCTCTTTCATTGGTGTACCTCAGGCTTCCACCACGTTGTTTGTAATGCTAGGTTTTTGGTCACTGTATTGGGCAAGGAAAGGAATGCCAGGAGCCAGATTCTACTAACTGGGCTCAGAAAACGAAGGTGGTGTCATCTATTGAGGGCTCAACACTTCGAGTGATAACTCTGAATCCCCCTTTAATTATGGTTTTCAGTGCTTCTTCACCTGAAGGTTTCCATGTTGTAGCTAAGTCTGTTGAACCGGAAGTTGGAGTTGATGTTTTGGGGTCTCCATTAGTGAGTGGAAAAGGGAAGGCAGTTATGGAATCGCTTGTTGTGTCAAGTGTGAGTTTGGATAGACCTATTGTGTTTGGAGTTAAAGCATGTACGTTGTCGAGACTAGAGTTTCTGTTGCTCCTCCTAAGAGGGGTCGTGGGGGACTAAGAGAGATGATCATCCTATCTTGGAATGTCAGGGGATTCAACACTCCTGAAAAACATAGGTATATATATAGTCAATTAAATAAGTATAAAGTAGATTTTGTAGCAGTTTTGGAGACTACAGTTAGGTAGAAGAAGGCATCTGAAATAGTTGATGGTCAGTTTAAAGATTGGCAGGCACAATTACATTAAGTCGACTCCAGTTCGTGTTTGGTTATTTTGGCGAAATGGGTTGAAGGTTACAGAGGTTTAATCAGGGGAATATTTCTTGCACGTTATGGTTTCTAGGAAGGGGGAAGTGTTGCTTGTTACTGTTGTTTATAGCCCAAATAAAGCTCTATAGAGAGTTCGACTATATTAGGAGCTACAAGTGTGCCAGAGGGATGATATTCCATGCGTTTGTTTAGGTGATTTCAATGTTGTTGCATATATTAATGAAGCTTCCAATGTTATTGATGTCTTACAGAGCATGATGTATTTTAGAGGCTGGATGTTTAACATGAGGTTGGTTTACCACAGAGTTTCAGGGTCATGGTATATCTGGTGGAACAAATAACAGGATAATTCGATTGCCGGCGTATCGATTGAGTGATGACCAATGCCAAGTGGTTTGATACTTTTTCTACAGCTTTGTTAAGACATTAAGCCCTGGAGTCTTTGAACACTGTGAATTTGTTCTCAATACTTCAATTGGGTTGGGAAGTAAGGGTGGTTATTTGGTCGGGGCTTTTTGGTTTTACCCAAAACCGAACCTTATAACAGGAACCGATACCGGACTAGTACCGGATAGCAAACAATCTAATCTCATCTTCAGGCTTAGATTTGAGGTAAAAATCTGTTCGAGACCGGATCGAAAACCGGATAAGAGAGCACAACACCCAAAACTTAACCAACTCCTTACGCTTTGAGGCCACGGACCACTCAAATTCCCACAAGTTCAATCTAAAATCAAGACCGAATTGGGACTGGACCGGGTCCAGACAGGATTGTATCCAATCTTTCGTCCTTATATTCTCAAAAAGACTGGACCGGGACCTGATCAATTTGGGTCAATTTAACCGGAATGCACCGTATAGCGACCCCTATTGGGAAGCCTACCCAAACCTTTTAATATTTAAATTTTGGCGGACACATCCTTCTTACTCTACCATTCTACAATGTGCATGGCAAAACACTACTCTGGATGGTTTGGATCCTTTCAATAAGTTATTTTCGAAACTGCAGACTCTAAAAAAAGTTGAAAAGAGCTTAATAGAACACATTATTCGGACATCTCTATTGGTCTGAATTTGTGTCTCTTCACCAATGTGTAGTGTTGCTTTGAATGGAAGTTTGTGTGGCTATTTTGCCGGTATAAATCTTTTCTTGTCTACTGCATAGAGCTGCTAATACATGAGTTTTACCCTACCACCCCGCTACAAATTGTTGATTATAACCCATTTACGCTTTGCCAATGATCTCCTTGTGTTTTCCAATGAGTCTGAGTATTTTGTAAATAAAATTAAGAGCATTTTGACATATTTCTATCAGCTAACTGGGTTAAAATTCAATCCTTAGAAGAGTCAGATATTCTTTGGATGTATAAGGAAGGAGGATGAGAAGCTTATTGCAGATTGAACTGGGTTCCCCCTTGGTTATTTCCCAATTAAGTACATGGGCGTCCACTTCTGGCAGGGAAGTTATCCAAGGAAGATTGTGCATTATTGGTTGAGAAGATAACACAGCGTATTAGAGGATGGAAAGCATTGCTTCTTAGTTATGTTGGGTGTATTTAGCTGATTTTGCCAGTCATTTCTAGTGTTCTGCAATACTGGATGGGTTTCTTTTTGCTCCCATAAGGGGTTCTTAATGAGATTTTTATGGGTCGTTTGCTTCATGGATTTGAAATATGAGGATTTTTGTAAAACTCGGGTTGTGGAAAACCATGGATATATGATGGATTTGGTGGCATCGTGGATTTCAACACGTTTATTGTTTGCTTGTTGGATTTGATAATAGATTTTATTTAATTAGATTTGTGGATATGAAACACAAATTACCTTGTTACCCTAATCTAATTATATTTCCATTAAAAACAAATCTAATGCATAAAAAGTAACTGAACTTCTACTTTGTGAACTTATTCTTTCCTCCTCTTCCTGCTGAACCAATGAGCTCCAATCGGGCGCCTTTACTTTATCTAAATCTAACGACTATTGAACCATCTCACCAGAAAGTTACAAGCGAAAACTACATTTTAATTGTTGAACGAGAGTGTTAAGAATGACTATGGCACCTAAGACGGATGATCCAACAAGGACCTCCCTAAGGCCCTAAAAATAGCTCAATTTGTTGGCTCGTAATCCCTTCAATTACAAATATAGGAAAGCATAATAGTTTGGACATGGCACAACTCCCTTGAATCCAACTGTCAATCAAGCAATAATGCACAAGATGAGCATAAAGTGTTAGAAATATCAATAGAGGAAGAGGAGCAAAAACAAGACTCATTGGAGGAATAAGTGAAATTCAACCACAATTGAAAATTTTCCGATTTTTTGGTCAAACTCGAGCACCGCCCTTAATCCAAAATTTCATCTCAAAATACACAATTTATGCGAGAAATTGATGTTAAACAAGCCCAAAAAGAGAAAGAGGCAAGGAGAACAAACATGAGAGTCCCTTTATCATTCATTGCTCTATATGAAAAACCGAGAACGGAGAGTTGGAGGGCGCCACCGAGGAAGAAGGAAGAGTAGATTAGTCATTAGGTAAATTAAATGGGGATAAACTAGTAAAATGACATCATGGATTTAAATCCATCACCCAATTCTCACCTCCATAGGTGGAACTTCCAAGTCCGTGGGGTCCACGGATTTGGACCTCCAGTCCAAACTCCATGGCCCCACGGATTTACTCCTTTCAATTCCATCAAGCAAACAATAGAATTTTGTTAAAATCCATGATAAATGCAAGTCCATCACCAAATCCACCAACAAAACCTTGAAGCAAACGGCCCGTGAAGCTCTCTGTAATAGATTCCTTTGGGGAGTAAGTGATTTAGGAGCTCGAGCTCTAGCAGTCAGGAAATATGCAGTATTGTTGAAGGGGGGAGGTGGACTAGGGATAAGAGATTTCAAGCTATAGAATAGAGCATGTGTCATTAGGCACACCTGGGACATCCTGGCAGGGAGAGGCTATTTGTGGATAGCATGGATTCGAAAATACAAGCTCAAGAACCGATCGTTATGGAATATCTCTCCTACTTCAGTGGGTTCTTGGGTCTGGAAAAGAGTTCTCAAAGCTCGTGGGGATGCTCAGCCTTTCATTGCTGGAGAGAGCTCTTCCTTTAACTTGGGACGATGCCACTATGCATCGGTTCTCGGTTAAGAGAGTTTGGAAATCGATTAGACCTCCTTTACCACCTGTCCCTTTGTCTGATATAGTTTGGGGTAATTTTATAATCCCTAAGTACAACATGCTTCTTTTGCTCATAGTTCATGATACAGTCCACACAAGAGACAAGCTAGCTTCTTGGGGGAAAGTGGTTGATACTGCATGCGTGTTGTGTCCAGGAGGGTTAGAAAGTAGAGATCATTTATTTGCTACTTGCCCTTTTACTCAACATGTTTTGCAGCAGAGCTTAAAGGATTATGCCACTGTCCCCAGCTACTTGACTGGGAAGCTATGATGAGGTGGGCGATGCTTTATTGGCGAGGTTCCAGCACACGAAAGAAAGTGGGAAAGCTCTTGTTGCCTGCCCAATTAGTAGCCAAAATTCGATCTGAATTTCGATGTTTTAAAGATAGTAAACAAATCTCTTAGTAGTATTATAGTATGAGAAACTTTTTTATGGTTCCAGATTGTAAAAGTTCTATTTGTAAACCTGAGAGGGCCCTTAAAAGGTACCCTGGTGCTTCATAGACTTTTTGATTTAACCATTAACAAAAATGAATTCGTTGGAACATACGAATGACTACTTCAGTGTTATCCTCCGTGACCACCCTAATCATTTGACGATTTGGAGGAAAAAGGATAGTTATGTGACTTGATTCTTTATTGTTAAGTAGATGTGTTTGATATAAACTGGTTTCTAATGCTTATACATGTGGTTGTGAGAGAAGAATCACACCTGTGCTTAATTCCACATTCTCGGTTTATTTTAAACGAATGCATAAGTTTACACAACCATCCCTAAATTATAATGTATCATTTTCAAGAGTTACCTTACCTAATAATGTTAGGCTAGAATCATTGTGTGCCTTCACGGTTTGTCACTCAAGCTTCATCTGTATAATGATTTAAGTAATACATTTAAAATAAATAGGAGTATTCAATTGAATACACCATCACTCACGACTCACGAGTAACGAGGTTGAGTATAAAAGTATTTTTCCAAACCCTACTTGTATGAAGCCAGAAAACAATGGTCAAAATGTTCGAATGAAGAACGGCCCGTGTCTAATTCCCCATCCTTATTTTTCTCTCTAATCTGATCCTCTTCCTACCTACCTTAGTTCTTATCGCTCCAAAAGACATTCTAATCATATGGGCTTCTCTCCAGTTCTTTAATATTACATGACCAATTTCAGCTGGCGTGACGATGGCTGGGAATATTTCCCCCAGTTCTTTAATCCTTAGTAACTCTGTCTCTTTCCCTCTTGTAATTTTCTACTCCCTCCCTTAAAAATTCAATGCCGGGTTTTGTAGAATGGTCATGGCGGCTCAGTTAGGTGCACACCAGAACCAAACTTCATATGGCATCCTCGTCTTCTCATATTTATGTTCTCCCTGCTTCTGATTCTTTCTACAAGTAAGCAAATCGAAAGATGAAATTCTGCCAGGGAGTTTTCCTGGAGGAACAGAACGAGACCAGCTATCAAATGCTCAGTAGCTCAGGTAATCTATAGTTGCCTCTGCAGTCTGCTACCTTTTAGCTGCAAAGACTTCTGTGATCGCCTTGGAGCTAATGGCGGTGCATTGTGAATTGATAGGGAGCTCGCTGGAAGAAAAAGCTTGCCGATGCAAAAGGTTGCTAACAAAGGTTGGTGCCCTTTTGATTATATCCTTTTTGGGTTCCTTTTTCTGGTTCATTGAGTAGAAATTGGAGGTCTAATAGGTTTTGGTTATGGAACAGTTGAAGCCCAAATGCCAATCAAGAGTTGATGGACGGAAGCAGCAATATGCAGACATGGCGGTGATTTTGGGGATAGACCAGGGAACTGGTCTCCGGTATGCAGTTTCTTTCCCCTCTCTTTGCTTTCCGTTGGATGTAAAGTTCCGGATTCAGGGTAGTTCGAATTCGTATCAGAAATCAAATCGATGAAGTTCACGATATCAGATCAATTTTGGCTTCATGGGTTCATTTCAGCTGATTGCGGAAACCCTTTTGTTCCCACAGGAGGAAGATAGTGTTGAGAAGACATTGTTCAGGGTTGAAGTTGGCTACAAGGCTAAAACTGTATCTTGACCAGAAGCAAAATGAAGACAGCAAAACCAAGTTCCTTGTGGCTCAAGGCTCAGAAGAACATGAATCAAAGGAACATTGTTGTGGTGATGAACCTCCAAGGAAGAAAGCTCCAGAGAGGACAACCTCCACAATCAAAAGAGAGCTTCCGGGGTCCCCATTTGGCTGGCCGCTTCACAGGAGAAAACTGCCTCAGAAGCAAGCGAGTTTGAGGAAATGTAGCAGCATCAGTGAATCCTCTTCTTCTTCATCATCTTGGTCCACTTTAGTTTCTGCATTTTCGAGACAGTCGTCGGCTAGAAGGAAGCCTCCTGCATCAGAATTCTGGGAGGAATCTGGAACTGATGAGGAAAGGATCCAGAAGTCAAAAGTTGACTTTAACTACAGAGGATGTATCTGTTCTAATCATAATGATGATGACGACGAGATCAACAGCGTTCTCAGTTTGAAATCCTCTGAATGCAAACTGTTTAGCCATGGAGAGCTGAAGAAAGCCACTCGAGATTTCTCTTCGACGAACTTGGTCGGAGAGGGAGGCTGCAGCAGCGTGTACAAAGGCTGCTTTCCTGATGGGAATTCAGTTGCAGTGAAAGTTCTCAAGCATTACAAGGAAGCTTGGAATGACTTCTCATTAGAAGTTGAAATCATGTCTTCAGTAAAGCATCGAAATATCACCCCTCTCATTGGTGTCTGCATTGAAGAAGGCTCTCTAATCTTGGTCTATGATTTCTTGTCCAATGGCAGCTTGGAGGAAAGCCTGCAAGGTAACGAACTCTGCTGCCATTTTTTTACAGTTTGGTTGGTAACTGGCTTGGTAAATCTTTGCTTTTTTACACTCTTCAGATGATGGTGAGAAGGCTGTATTGCCTTGGGATGTGAGGTTCAGAGTGGCTGTTGAAGTTGCTGAAGCTCTGAGTTACTTGCATAGAGAATGTCCTAGGCCAGTCATCCACAGAGATGTCAAGTCTTCCAATATTCTCCTGTCCAGTGATCTTCAGCCACAGGTACTTCATTCCTATGTGATTTATGCATTACATGACAGGAGTAGACATGCTCGGGTCAAAAATCGAGTCGGTATTCAACTGCCCACTCAAAATGACCTAGTACTTTTCACAATTCATTACGCTATAATAATCTGACTCGTCATTATAATCAAACCCGTTATGACCAGAAACCGATCCATTTGTTCTTCCAAGTCTTTTGACCATATTTTGTACTTGCTTGCCTTCACCAGTTATCAGATTTTGGGCTTGCCATATGGGGCCCAACAAAATCAGCCCACATGACAAACAAAGACCTTGTGGGAACCTTTGGCTACATAGCTCCAGAGTACTTCATGCATGGGAGGGTGAGTGAGAAAGTAGACGTCTACTCATTTGGTATAGTTCTGCTCGAACTGGTCTCGGGAAGGAAAGCAATTATCACAAAAGATTGCTCAAAGTCACAGGAGAGCTTAGTCAAATGGGTGAGTAGTTTCCCCAAATTTCAGTTCGACTAACTTGATCGGTCAAACATTTGGTATGTGGATTGCTTGCTTGTCAAGAAACTGAATATGGTAATTCTTGTTTATGGTTCAGGCGATTCCATTGATGGAAAGTGGGAATCACAGAGGGTTACTTGATCCAAGGTTAATGAGTGAGCAAGTGGACGACTCCCAATTGGGTAGAATGGTTTTGGCAGCCAGTCTTTGCACCAAAGCCTCAGCTAGATTGCGTCCAACATCAAGCCAGGTATAACATTGTTAACGGTGGCGAAGCCAGGTCACTTATTTTCTTTTGATATTTTCACGGTATGTCCTAATATTGATTGTTTTCAGATCATTGAACTTTTGAAAGAAGAGAAATGCGAAAAAGAATGGACAAGTTCCTACGTCAACTATTTAATAGAGACGAGTAATGAAGAGGAAGGTGATGATGAAAGTCTTCCCAAACGTGATTACAAGTCTTCTTTGCACACTTCATGGCTGAACTTAGGCTTGGAAGATGAGTTAGAAAGCAACAGGATCATTGTCCAGCCAAGGAAAAAACTGAAGGACTACTTAAAAGAAGAGCAATTTTAATAATTGTTACTAAACTTCAAGTCTTCAACCACACATCTAATTTTTAGAAGAAATTCAATATTACCCTATAAATTTTGTTCCAATGTAGAAATGGGACTTTGATCCGTAGATACATCACCAATTATGTACAAACTGTTTCATGGAAGGTTCCTAACAAAGAGTTCCAAAAGTTATTTATTAATTTTTTTAATGACATTAATTTACACATCAAAACCCTTAACGAGTTTAATTTTCATAAGTATATATTAGCTCATTTGAACAAAATGTATCAAAGAGGAAGAAGAAGTCAGCAATCACACAAGACAAGACATGAGATTCTACTAAGCCAAACAACCTACGCAAGCCAATTCCAGAGTTTATGAACAAGGAACTCAAACGAGGATTGACAGAATCAGAGGAACCGCAGGGGCTTTCAGGGTGGCCGTGTTCTTCTGTTACATCATTCATTTCACCTTCTTCTTCATTTTCTTCTTTACTGTTATGAAAATGCTTGATCCTCTTGGATTTTATCTTTTCTGCTTCCTTAGCTTCTCTCCTGCTTTTCCTTTTCATCCATTTTTCTATGTCCTTTTTGCCATGGCTCCTCATTTCCTCCACAAGCTGTGCCATCCCAAAGAATAATCAAAGGATAGAGAACCAGTGACCAGCAACTTAAGCACCAATTTAATTAAACCAGAGGTTTCACTTTTCAGGACGTTTCAATACGATTTAACCCCTGAACCAACCCTGTCCTAATTCTCAGCATTAACCGCCAGCCTACCTCTAATTTTTCTCTCAAGAACGCACTAATAAACCACCCATCTGACGCAGAACTAACAAAGCTCTAAGAAGTCTCCACAACTCTCACTCCTGAACCTTTCAGGAACCATTCAAAATTACGATTTGGGTTCACAAATCCATTCGACGAAAGCAGATTCTCACCTTGTTCAAGAAAAACAAGAAACCCTTATTTTCCCGGTAATCAAACGAGACTTCAGCAGTACTCGCTTGCTTATTTCTCAAGTAGAGAAAAGGTCAGAGAGAAATAGCTGGCTAGAGGAAGCTCGAGGAATAATCTAAGATTCGTTTCTCGGCTCCAATCATATCAAATTGGACTCTGAGGAAGGGTATTTTCATATTTTGCAGATGCCTTTATCATACTTCTGTACTTCACTGGATACTAGGATTCATCATAACGATTAACGACCAAAATCTGTTATACAAATGAACAGCAGAAGATCGAAGTATAGAGACACCAAGAAGCACAACTTCAGTGTAAAAGAATTGCACTAGTTCATATAGAACAAAAAAAAATGTACAAAACGGGTGTCAATCTAAATCCTAACAATCAATCGTCAGGAATCATCTAACTAGTTTCTTTCTTTTTACTTCCCTCACAAAGCAGCCCGAGGTGTACCTCTCAAAAACACAACGGGCGAATTACAATCATGCCCTCATCGGTTTTTTTCTCAAAATGGAACCGTATAGGGCAATGCATAAACTTCCACTTCAGGCAAGAACTGAGCCCTAGGCCACAAAGCAGTACATGAACTTGCAGCTGTGCACGAAGCATCATTCAACTGAGCTTCGCTGCTGCTTCTACAGACAGGCTTTCTGGAAGCAAGGAGCCAATCCAGCTCTTCTTCAGGTTCAGACTGCTCAGCCTGAAGTGCAGATGGTGTCCACCCACTGGTTAGAGACTCATATAGATCTTGTATTGAAGTCTTCTTTGAGCCAGACCTCTTCTTCGATCCCGAAGATACATCAATCAGAGTCTTCCCCACCTTGGCAGAAAAATCTTTTTCATTCTTCCACAACTCCGATGTAGATGGGATGTCAGGATGTCTTTCACTGACATCATTCTTCTGCTGGGAAGAACTGGTAGAAGGTTGACAAGTATGCTCGGTACTGAGTGGAGCTTCCGTCTTAGGAACGTTCAATTTGATCTTAATGACATTTCCTGCAATACATGAGGGAACATACTATGAGATTTCCATGAAGCTAGATATACAAGCAAGCACCGCATAGTTATGAATATCACTAGGTATACATACGTTTCCTTTCCAATGTGTTATCAGCTGCTGTAGGCCTTTGCTTGAAGACCCCAACTGATTCGAACGAATGACAGGGGCTTTGGCTAGAGACAGGGGGACCATGCTCTTCAGTTACACCACTGCTTTCGGCTTCCTCTTGTTTAGTAGCCTTCTTTTGAGAATCACCAGGAACACTCTTGGTGGTGAACTTGATCCTTTTGGGTTTCGTTTCTTCCACCTTATCACTCCGACTGGACTTGCGTTTCAGCAATTTTTCAGTGTCCTTTTTGACATGCTTCTCTGTCTCGGCAAGGGGCTATTATGTCCCAAAACAACGCAGTTTAGAACCGATGGCCACACCAAGCAAAGAGTATATGCGCCCCCAATGAATATACTTAGGGTTTACATTTCAGATAGTTACAGACTCGATGGATTTAACATACTTACAGCAAGTCAAAAGCTTACCCATGGCGCAGAAGATCGAATACACATGGTACAAAACAACAGACTGATTGAAAATCTTCGAAATAAACACATTGTTGAGACTTAAACTTAAAAAGAGTGTTAAATCAAGAAAACAATTTCAAAAGTTCGGTCAATCTCCTCAGCAACAGTTCCATTTCCAAGTGCATCTTCCCCAGCTGAGGCTTTATTGTTCCATTTATTTCATTTTTACACTCAAATTAACACTTCAACGCCACACACTCTCAAATCTAATCCGAATACCAGCTTACAGATCCCAAAAGCTCTAACTCCACGAGAGACAACCCAAACTCCGCCCCTTTAAAGCTTTCATAACAAGGCTCCACTCTCGCAAAAGTTAACTCGCAAAGACAGAAAATCAAAACAAGTCGAAACAGATTTTTCTTTGGAAAACATAAAACCCTAAATCTCTTTTTCACAATCCGATTCAAGAGAACAGATTTTCCAAGAGAAATCAAGAAACCCCTTCTTATCTTCTTGGGAGACCAAAAAGAGTCGCCAAACATCAAATTGATGAGCATTGACACAAGAAAAAGAGAATCGAAGAAACCAAATTCAAGCTTCGCTTGAAACGAACCTTAATCGGTCCTCCCAGCAAAGCCCGACCACCACCACCAATCCCCAAGTAGCCTTCTGGGGGCAGGTAAGGAAAGCATCGAGCCATCTGAATCTCACTTTCCGTCGACAAGAAAACCCAGTAAAGGAGACGCAACACGCAACCCCAATCGAAGATTCCGCGCCTTTTCTTGCCCTATCCGATCTCGACTCGAGCCAAAAAAAAAGGAAAAAACCAAACGCAAGACTTCGGAAACCCTATAAATTTTTCGCCCCCGACTTCGACTAATGATAGGCTTGCGGCTGTGGGAGAAAGTACGGTGGGCAGGCATTAAGAATGCATATTTATAGACGGGAGCGAGATCTGAGATCACCGACTCAACTAGGTCGGTTGTTCGTATGAAATACCAGAATTACCCTTGTTCTGACAGGCTGGCCGGCTTTTTTTCTTTGTTTTTTGGCGTGTGCTTTTTTTACTATTTAGCGTTTTGAAGTAACACGACGGGCGCAACTGGCGGAGGTTTCCGAGCGGCAGACGTAAGCGATCCAACATTCCAACTACTGAATGGATTGGGCTTGTTGATAACGCTTGCTTTATATACGTAGGCCCAATAACTATTATTATGCGACAGTCAAGTTTGATAGTTGACTGTTAAATAACTATTAATAAATCACTAGTAATCAGCCAGCGCTCCGCGGCGGGGTAAGTTTGGCTTGAGTAATTTCATGGATTATGATATATATTTGTATGCATGTAATCTGGGAACAATTGAGATAATTGTTGGATAGAGTGTGTTCTATGGTATTATTAAGTCTCGGCCATGTTCTGTCGTGTAGAGATGTCAACATATGTTATCAGCGTACACGGGGCTGTTTGATTGTGTGACCTAGCTGTACTCATCAAACATCATAGTTGTCAAAGCAAGGATGCTGCCATTGTAGATGCATTATAGTTGGGTGCACGTAACTGTACTGGAGATTTAGTGTCTCAAGGCATAAAAACAAAAGTTAGTACATAACAGCCTTGTGAAATCCGAAGAACCTAATCAAATTTAAAAATTTGTTTTTTCCTCGCTGGACCTTGAGAATAAAAACTTGGTTAAGGAAAGAGGATAATAGAGGCAGCAAACACGTAGCAGGGGCTCTTTCTGTCATTGGTGCTGATGATCACTTGTCGATTCTTGAGGTGTGCCAAAGTGTTGAAACTCTGATGTGAGGTTTTGCTGGAGCGCTTCTGTTCTGCAGATCCGAGGAACCGATGTACAGTTCTCCTGCAAACATTCTGCTGCATTTTTTGATAAGCAACGCCTTAGTTGCATCCGCATCGAGTTTCACGCACTTGCTTGGTGACATTCCGATTATTGAGAGAGTTGCCTCATGGTCCAGTATGGCATCAATGTCATCAGATCCTTGTTCACACTTGACTTCGAGTTGATAGTGCAAGCTGGTCATAAATGTAAGCGAGAAGTTATGTTAATTTCTTTGTGGATAAATTAGTAAATAATAGATGCGCATTGAAATAGGAAACATAATCTGGCCATTCCTCGGTTGTTCTGCATATGCTTTTTCGAAATTTCATCTGTGATATGTGGAACTTGGCACGGTAAAGCACCTAATTCGAATGGTATATCTTAGTTGGCAATGTTTGTTTATAAAATTTAACTGCGAGATGTAGCTATTTATGATGCATTTTGTCCACGACTAACCTTGTGGCAGCTCTGATCAGATGCAAGCATAGCTTTGATGTCAGCAAGTGTTTTCTTCTCAACTGTTGATCGAAGGCAGCCTGTTTTCTTACTGGTGTTGGCGTCCATGTAGTAGACCTGCCTGCGACTATGGACGAAGTTGGTTGTAGCAAAATAATAAAAAAGTGTTATCTTTGTTCTGGTCGGTTGGCAGTATATATGAATCGAAGAATGAATAACATTTGTTCAGACAGAAGTGTACATGTGCATTATTTCTTTGAATGTGCCTGCATAAGATCTGATTATCAACTGACTGGCAGGAGTGGATTCAAAACGATACTTATATTTCTGGGTGGACAGAGGCGGCACTCGAATAGAACCTTTGATTGTAACAATGAGGGGCAGATGAGCCTCAACTGTTGGCGCATTCTCTAAGAACTTCGGGATGTCATATCCTTGATACAGCACAGATGCCTTAGCGCCACTGATTGTGACAGATATATGTAAGGTTGATGATTCATATAATTAATAAAGTAGTATATTATTCTATAGAACGCACCTCACATCCTGTATGACCAGGTTGAATTCTCGGAGGATACCACGAACTGTTGTAGGAACGCTAATACGCCTGACGCATGCAGTGATATCTGTGGTCACCGGGAGAGCTTGTCATTTTAAAGTTTACGTTTATTTTAGCATAGGAAACTGAGATAGTCAAGCGTGACCTGTATGATAGTCAATGGTATTTGTCTGAAGTGGTACCATCGAAAAAGCCATCCCAATGTCCCAGCCAATGTGTAATCGTGGTTCATCTGGGTCCTCTTCAATTCTGAGGATGTTTTGGTCGGGAGTTATGTGTATCCTTAACTCTCCTGCAACAATCCTAGGATTCTCTCTTGCTGGTATAGCCACCACCGAATCAAACCGATAAAGGTTCCCGACTTTAATCTAGCGAGAAATCTCGCTGATGTCCTTTTCATCAACCATTGACTCGATCAATCGTGCCTATAAGATAAATAGTTTAGCGATCTCAAACTACATAGTGCACTGGTCTAAAAGAACTCATGAATAAATTGTGCAATTCTGGAACTTAATTGTAAATGAACCTTCTTGTCTATCCAAATCATGTGCATGCTGAGGTTTTTAAGCCCGGTTGCCTCTCGGAATTCGAGCCACGTCATCACAGGCCGAGCAATGACTATGCGAGTATTTATGCCCAAACGCAAACCCCGAAATGGCATGCAAGTTTCAATCGGATCTATAAGACAATAAAGGGAAACGAAATGGTTTTTTATCTTTCTTGCAAAGGAATCGAGATTCTTGGGAGGATTTGTTTACGAAAATGGAAGTTATCACCTTTGATATCGGTGGGGACCATGTGAGCGCCTACTGTTGTCTGGCGGTTTTTGCCTAAACTCTCCATGCCAAGTGGGGTCTCTGTGCTAACAATAGAAAAACTGACCAGAAATGTTGTTTCAGCAGTAAAAGCGGTGAAGAAGAGAGAGACGTGGACTTACCTTTGCTTTGATGTTTGTCTGGTAGTTTCTGTGGTGGGGCTTCTTTGGCGGAGAAAGGTTGATGAAGATGTGGACGGCGATTGTCAATGGTTGATGAGGGAGGATAGGGTTTTAAGGAGGATCGCTTGGTTTGAACGAGCCTGTATTATGGGCCTGTATTTAAATCGTGTTTGTGACTATAAAGGCTGTGCACTGGGTAATCGTATTATGGGCTTGAACAATGGGCCTGCATGTTTACTGATTTACTCTGTATTGCCCTATAGTTTTGTGGATTGTGGTCCAGACAAGGCAATTTGTACAAAATTGAGTTTTTTTAGCTTATATTTAGATAAACACGGTTCTAATAACTCAGATTTTCCATTTATATGATATAAATTGCAACATGTGTTTGAGGAATTGATTGCCAAAAGTGAAGGTGAATGTAGTTCTTCATCATTCATTATTTGGACGCATGATCAAGACAAAACATTCACCTCTCTGAACTATTTAGATACAAACATCAGGCTCTTCCATACTGGCTAAACAGAATAAGCGGCGGGTAGGCAATGATCAAAATGAGTACGTCAGTGAATTTCTTCGACCCTACAAAAGAAAAACAATTATTTCAGTCACATTTACTGATGCAAACATTTGTTAGTTTAATAGGTCTAATAGAATTACCTGATAAGTAGTTTAGGTATCCACTATATTGGCAAATGCTTCGTGGAAGACTATGTTTCTTGTAAAGTCATGAGGTATTTCTGGTGGGTTTTCTATAAGAATACTCAAACCTCTTGCTGATCTTACTCTTGAAACTCCCACATATAGCTGGCCGTGGCTGAACACTGGTTGAGGCAAATATATCCCTACTTTTTCAAGTGTTTACCCTTGGCTTTTATTTATAGTCATCGCATAGCATAGTCGAACCGGAAATTGCCTCCTTTTGAGTATGAAGGGCCACTTGGAGTTATCCACATTCAACACTATTCTTGGTATAATGACCTCATCAGTATCACAAGAACCACCCATAATGTTGCCTTTTATATAGTTGTCGCCCAACGATGTGATCATTATTCTTGTGTCGTTGCATAAGCCAAGACCAGGGTTTAAGTTGCGTAAGAGCATAACTGGTGTGTTTACCTTTAATGTGATCTCGTGGTCTGGTACTCCGTTGAATGTAAGAGTGTTGAGAAACTCAGTTGGATAGCTTTCATCAAACGAATCCGTCGTTTCTGTCGATAGCAGTAGCGAGTCTGAGCCGTAATAGGTTGTCGGATATCCTGGAACATTTTTCATCATAAAATTATTAATTGTAGAAACAGTTGCATTCGTTGGAGTAATTATGGCTCTACTGGTGAGGTACTCCGGGTGTCTATGATTTTGGGAGAACAAATCATAGATATCATCCACGATCGACTGAACAGGATCAGCTCCAGGATCAATTAGGAACAGTTGTGGAATCTGTATCCAATCCATTGGGGCATCTTCTCTTAATGATCTTGCTTTAAGTTTTCCATCTCCTAAGGCGAGGACCCATTCTGGAAATGTATATCCATGTATTAGTTGTTGGTTAGCATGCTGGGCTTCTGTGATTCGCATATTTGTAGATAGCTGCATAACTTTAAAATAACTCCATAGTTTGGATCTAGTCAATGAGCTATCAACAGTTTGTTCACGTCCAGCTTCGGTTATAACGGGGAGAGTTTGGCGAAAATCTCCACCAAAAAGAACAGTCTTTCCTCCAAAAGGTTTATAGTCATGTCCATTCAGCGGAACATTTAATATATCGCATAAACTGCGATCCACTGCTTCAAAAGCTCGGCGATGTGTCATGGCTGCTTCATCCCATATGATTAAGGATGCTTCTTTTAGCAGATCAGCTAAATGTGTACCGTGTTTAATTGGACATGTCGATGTTGCATCTAGAATCATAGGAATTTTGAACCTTGAATTCGCTGTCGATGCTTTGGGAAGAAGTGTTGCTGCGATACCTGATGATGCAACCAGAACAACTATTTTCCCCAAACTTCCGAGTCTTGTTGTAATTACATTATAGAGATATGTTTTACCTGTACCTCCGTGGCCGTATAAGAAGAATGCACAGCCTATCTTGTTGTGTACTAAATTGATAACAGCTGAATACACATTGGTTTGCTCAACGTTCAGTGACTGTAACATTGTGGTGGCCAATGTATGTTGTTGATCCACATCGAAAGCAAAATGCTCATTTATAAGTGGATTCTCACCATTATCGCATAAACCATCTGATGGGAGTGGAAGATTAAAGTTCTCAAGAGTCATTGAGTGTGAGCTCAACATAGTCTGTAGTTGATGTAGAACCCAGTTCTGCAGTCGTTCGTCGCTGGGCCTCAGAGTCTGATCTCTGAAATCCTTCATTAAACTATACGCACAATCTTCAGACATAGATTTCCAAGAAGAGTTGAACAATGTTACCGGGTTTGGTATTTCACAGAACATCAGCATTGATACGAAAGTGCTTCGAATCACTCGTGGCATGCTAGAAGATGAGATATCTGCCAATACTCATATCCATTCTGAAGAGTCTGATTAAAAGGCCCAATTTTTCACAAGCTTTTTCAAAATCTGCACAAACTTCTCCATTGACAGTCCTGAGCTGAGCATAACTAACAGCGCCGCGAATTTTTGTGAGCAGCATCCGGAGGAAGAAAACATCGCCAGAACCTGGTGGAACATATGAAATTCTGCCTATTGCGAATCCCTTCTTGCGAGGACTCCACTCTTTACAATCAAAGAGCCAAGTGTAGTTGTTGGGTATCTGTGCATATGTCAGAATTCTCGCCTGGGGGTCTCTACGATTAAGCACAAACCATTCTGTTAAGTGCGTTCGACCAGCATAAGGATTCCCCAAAATATTTCTTACATTGGATTGCTTCTTATATGGTATTTTTTGCTGACCATCCAAATGAACTCCCAAGCGCACAACTGCTGGCTCTCTTACATGTATTGGATACTCATTCAGCCTCCATATAGCTTCATAAGATGACAACGATCTGCAGTCAATGAATTGCTGAATTTCATCTCTGTATTTTGCGGATTGCACTTCTACATTATTGTGAGGTGCATCAGCATTTTCAGCAATCACCAATGACATGTCTGGACCTTTTGTCACATACTTGAAAAGATATTTAATAAGCTTACCCTTATGACATACCTCGACATTGATATGAGCCTGCATTCTCACCAACAAATTTCGGTTGTATGGAACAACATGTCGATTGTCGAGGACTGAACTGCCCTTTTGAACCTCTATGCCCGAGTTTGATCTTCTATAAACGACATTTCCGAATTTGTCAAATGACGTAGCTGAGTTAAACTCTTTTGGGTAATGTTTGGAACATCTGCCGTTTGAGGATCGTTTTTTGTCTCGCATACACGGTGCATTCGTGTTTGCTTCGCCACATGGGCCATGTAACATATATTTGCAAACAGCCTCATATCCAACTGGATCTTGTTGAGGGTCAGAAATTTCAGCTGAGATAACCTCATCAATGTCAGCAGTTGTCCTCAGTTTATTCTCCTCGGCCAGCCAAACCAGCAAATGTATATGCGGCAGACCTTTTTTTTTGGAACTCCACTGTATACATTACTGCCCAAAACAAAACCTATTGAGAAGCTAAATATTCATATATGTGCATTGAAAGACAAATGATAGTCAATGCTGGAAAAAAAAACAGGCTAATCTTACTTGCAATCGTCTTTCCAAAGTAGGATTTTTTCTTAATGTCATCAATCAGAATGCTGAGCTTAATGTGGAAAACCCTTGAGACAACCATCGGTTTGTCCGAGCTATTTGGACCAACTATATCGTGAAAAGCTTCTGTGATTTCTTCCCACAGCGAATTACACGTAAATGTAATAAATAGATCTGGATTTCCAAAGAACTCAATCACCGCCATTGCATCGTGATATAATTGTTGCATATATCGTGGGCTACCTATATAAGTCCCTGGGAGGACAACATGACCCACTTTATCCCCGTCAAGATCACCCCGCGCCATTGCATCCTGTAAGCCTTGATAAACTTCAGCTCTAAGTTGTGGCTGATGGCAGCGCAGAAATGCGAGCCTATTTAACTTTATTGATGAATAGGCGTCGATACTAAAGTGCTGAAGAGCTTTTCCTGCTTGAACAATTGTATGGCCTTCATTGATGCGATATTGGAGCCTAAATGTGTAGTATTCACGCTGAGTAACAAATTGTCTGCGCATAGAAGGAGGACAGAAAGCTGACCTGTATTTGATAAGAGGATGATAACCATCCTCTCCATATGGGAATAAGAGCGGGAAATGCAATGCATCAAACTTGGGATTGAGACTTGTAATTCTCTTTAAGCCTTCATAAATATGATCAACAATGATATCTCGATCGTCCCTGTCTGGAATAAAATCGCCTGGTATGAGTGCTGCGATTTCAGCGCTGCTTGGCAAGTCGTATTGTCAATTTCTGCTCTTAGCTCCAAAAATCCGAAGTTTCAAATTTGTCATTGTAGAATCCTGCAACTACTGTCGAACTCGCCTGAATGTCTTGGCAAGTTGATTGTTTTCATCCAACATTTGTAGTAATAAAGTGAGCAATTCTGGCATAAGCAGACCATCCCGGGAAGCATAATTTGCCAAGCGGTTGTCAATTTCATTCTCTAGTTAAAAAATATAGAGCTGGGCAAACTTTGGTTTTTCACCATCAGGAGGCAACAACGAACCAATCCTATGATAATTCTCTCCACATATTACCATTGAATAAGGCCCCCTTCCAGAGAGAGAGCGAGGGTCAATAGAAGCGCCAAATGATGTGAAACACAATGAACCATTATACGGTCTAATGTTGTCCCTGAAATGCTTAGACATAGCACCACCATCAAATCGCAGAAGTTCAGCCAACAAATGTGGAGGTTGTGCTAAGAGCGGCAAACCAACGCGGCCTTTTTGACAGCATAATGGATAAATTGGATTAGTCGTCGCTCGATGGCGATCGAGCCTTTCCATATCCCAAAACAAAGCACCACAGTAATTACAAACACACTCTGGCTGACCAATCCTCAGAATATCATTGTGGAGTGGCTTTCTAGCTGTGGGAATATGCCTATCACGAAATGGAGGTTCGCTTAAATTCCGCCGATTCAAATGATCAGTTTTCTGACGGCTAGACCGTGTTACTCGACCGATGCCTTCGTTACATTCATCCCCCATGTCACACATACTCTATTCCTGACAAAATATGGGTCGAGTTATATCTCTGGATACCAATTGCTTCATGTTCTGATAGCGCGTTTTCCTCGGCCGTGATGGACCTGATATGTATACAACAAACATAAAAGTTGTAAGCTTACTACAGTCAGCGGCCGATATGAACAAATGCGGACAGCAGGTGTAGAATAATGTGTAACTACATCACCAGCTGGCGATGGCGAAACTTGATGAAGATTCAATAATGACCCCCGCATGGTGCTCTGAGACACAACAGATGTTTCCCCGAACACTGCTGACGCTGTTGAAAGATTCTCTGCTGGCTGTTTGCGAATTTCAATTCTAGCTCTTTTATGTGTTAAAGTCTGATATTGAGCTTTTCTTATTCTTGGAGGCATGGCCGCAGAGTCTAGACAAAAGCATACAAAAGAACAACGTCATTCATTGCTAGAAAGCTTCACTAATAAAGCTGAGATGAATTTGAATGTAATGAATCAATAACGGACATAGTTCAAGATTCACTCTACCTTGAACAATCAAAAGCGTGGTGGTTGTATAGATGGCTGTCCAAATCGGCTGCCAAGCACAAGATACAAATGAGAAATCTTAAGCGAGATATGAGAGTGGGATGGGAGAAGTTCCCACAGAAGTTGACACAACCCCAATGAAAAAGAAGACGTCCCTTAGAATGCATCATTATGGATATTTGAGATATGCAATCATATCCGCCCATATTAAAATGTGTTATTATGGATATCCGTGATATTAGATATGCATTAGTATATTGCTTTACCACTCCCAAAATATCTAACTTTGTGCTAAATTAATAAAATGAAGAGAAACAATCATATTAGTTTAATCTTTGTATAGAAATAGGCTTAATTACAGAGACAAAAGCGATTACGGAGGAAATAGCTCGAGCTATTTTCCATTTCGGAACATGTGGCCTCAGTTGGAATCCATAAATATTAGTATCCAACATAATTAACACATTCCTATTCCAATGCTCATATATGTTCTAACGTGTCTTTTCAGGACTATCAATTCCACAAAATGTCAAACATGTTTTAACACATCTTGATAACTAAATCATAGAACAGGTTAATTCCTGTATAAAACGTGAGCTGGTTAGACTTTAAGCGGAAGAATCAGCGAACATCTAGCGAAAAAGGAGCATGACTACGCTAAGAATGGACATACATTGTACCCGCAAAACGAAACAACCCATTTAAGAAACGATAAGTAGAAATCATACTACATATAACATATCACAAGGGAAGAAAACCCAGCTACAATATCACAATAAGGTACGACGCAAAAGTCACATATAGCAACCTTCACCACCTCAATACCGCCAAAAGAACTACTATCCGACAAAACATAGACGGTTACATAAACAAAAAGTACAGAGAACATACATCCTCTGATAACATCCACATAGGTGCCAACAGTACAATTTCGAGACCATCTATAGTAACTGGGAAATCTGCAAATTATAGTAATAGGGTTTCGATAATCTCTGGCCTCATAACTGGGAAATCTGCGAATTATAGTAACTGATTCAGATGTCATCCTCGAACAACATCGCAAATTAGCAAAATAAACTCCGGGAACAACGACAATACCTGCCAATCAGATCTGGTTCATCAGTGATGCTAAACGGCATAGCCGGAGTTTCAATGAGAAGAGAGTCTGAAACCTTCTCCTTTCCCTTCGAGGCCCTTGAAAACACATCACAAATATTTCACTTTAGACATAATACACAGACCAAAGCAAAACACAAAGAAACCAAAGCACCAAACACTGACCTCGATGAACCAGAGCCCCCCCCCCCCCCGACACTCGATGCACGCATCATAGGAGCAGCCAACCGAGGGGGCGAAGAAAACTCAAGCAGATCACCCACCACAGTAGGATCATCAAGAGGAACCACCTGGGTCACACGGAATTCTCCCGAGGAGAAACCAGTTGGGCCCGGCAACGGCAACCTACAATCAAACTTGACATACTGCCCTCGTAACTTATGCAGTTGTGGGGGCAGCTGACCAGGACGATGGGGGAACCTTTGGGCCAAATGTGCGGCGGAAACGTTCCCCAGCGTAAGCGCACACCCCCCCATCAGTATAAAACGCGCCTCACAGGAGTCATCCCTCAGTGTAAGCTGGAGCTTGTAACTGAGGGAAAAAGAAGATTAGCAACAAAACCCACAACAGGCAACAAACATACAAAAAAAGACACATGGTCATACTTTACGCGAGTTTGTTCCTCATCCAACTGCCAATCCTTTGGACACCAAAATGTATCATCACGACGCTTCGAAACAGCCCTCGAACATAACTTGCATGAAATATAATACCAAGGTGTGCTTGACTCAACATCGACAATCACTCCACCACACCGATACTTCTCTTCCTAACAAAAAAAAAAATGGGAGCAAGTTACGTTCAAACATGGGGAAAATGATAGCAATAGACTTTTAGATGAACACGCAATACTACTGAGGCATTTGTTCTGGATAACGCCAGCAGCTGACTCAAAGTCCTCGTTCGACGATCGGTATCAGCAGTAGCATCAGCGGCAGTAGCAAACTCAACCGGCAAGGATTCAACAACCTCATGTTTCTCAGCAAACCTAATAGAGATCCAAGCACCATAACTTGGACAACATAGGAACCTTTACAAAATCCGGAATACATCAACAGCACACGGGAAATCGGCAACAACCCACAACTAACTTACCTAGACGCAAGAAAATAAGCCTTCGGTACAGGAGGATTGACTGATATGCGAGTAGCGGCACAACTCGACAGAACATAATCATCTGAAAAGTAGAACAAAAGACGACAAAAACTATAACATACTAATAGACCACATACTAATAGACCACACTCAATCTAACGAAACCATGCATGCAATAAGGAAGCAACAACATACCTCCCAGCTTATTGACCAGCAAGCCGCCAAATGCCAAAATCACAGCTTCAATAGAGTCAGCCTGAGTCAAAGCAACGTGATCCAAGACCGCAGAAAACTCATCCCAGAGCGTAATCGAGACCTTCGCTCCGCTGAGGGGAAAAAAAGGACACGTAAGAGAAACAAATAACAAACACAACACTCACAACCGAACCAATAAACACAGGAAAACGCAAAACACCTTTCATCCTCAATTATGAACGTCTGCTTGACTGCAGGACCGTTATTTGTGATCTTGTGCGATATCCTGCTGATCGAACTGAGTCGGCCAACGACATCTACAAAAACAGTACAAAGATAAAATCTTAGTAAACAAACAACAGATACATAAACAAAGCAAATCCAACAAAAACAAACCCACTAACCTGTCAAATAACGATGGTTACTGGCACGCAAATTCAACTGAGAGAAAGCCACAAACTCGTAAGCATCAAGTGGGAAACTTTCAGCAGGCAAAACACAGGGCTGAAAAGAAGCCGAAGGCGAAAGACCCAGAGCCAAATCAAAGGAACAGGCCCGATACTGATTTGCCGGATTGCTCAGGGCAAAAGTCTTTATGACGTATATCTTGCCAACTGAGAGATTACGGCAAATCCCGGTAGCCATCGAAGTCGGTGAGACGCCTTGTATCAGCATACCCTGCGCAAAACACTCCACCCTGCCACATGAACAAAGCGAAGAGGACACAGCAAACGGGGGCAAGAAAGAAAAGGCGAGAAGGACAGAAACTTAACTGTTTCGTCGACCCAAAGAGTGCAGTAATTGTAGATCCTAATGTCCCCCGGGGACTTCGCCGGCCACACATGCAATAGGCGGAGCCGCAAAGAAACGCTGGCATTGCGAGGACCTCCGAGGTTACAAAGCAGCGTAAACTCCATGGTTCAGGAAAAGAAGAAAACCAAAGAGAGAGAAATAAATTTTTGAGAAAGAAAACAAAATGACAGGAGGGAAGTCCCGGCGCCACGAAAGATAAAAAAATGAAAGAAGGACTGAACAGACGTGATAGTACTGCATGTCAGTTACCGGTCCAATGACGAAAGAGAACGTAAAAAATGGGAAACGACACTGCGATTAACAAAAGGATAAGTACAACGTAAAATCAAGGAACCGCCAATGAAACCATAAAAAGCAATGAAGGATTCGAGGCGCCGAAGCAGCGGTTGTCAGATATCAGGTCACAAAGAAAACCGCTCCCCCCAGGCCCAAATGCAAATCGGCGTATATAAAATGGTGCGCCCACCATTGGCCGAAATCCAGGAAGACAAGAAACAAAGCCCACGTGCAAGAGAAGAAAGCAAAGCAGTGCGTGTAATAATTATACGGGGCGGCCTCAGGGGAAACGATAGAAAGGAGCAGAAAACGCAGGAAAAATAAGCGTCCATTTGAGGGCAACGCGGCACACACAGGAGCAATAGAAAACAAATAAAAAACCGGCCCACCCACAACTGAGCAGCCAATAAGAAAATGCGACCGCAAAGATGGACCAATCAGGAGAGGGTGAATAGTAATTTTGAGTCTAAATGAACAGTAAATTGTGTCTAGATGAACAGTAACGTGTCTTTGCAAATAACTTGTTCTAAAGTATCATAAAAAAATATGAAGTAATTAAATGATTTTCATTTTCAGAATTCAGTTTCCGAACTCACCAAAATTCTAAACTAAACAAAAACTATTAGGTTAATAGCATAAATTGTCCTTCTATTATGGTTTTTTCTCAAACTTGCCCCTCTACTATATTTCAAATCAAACTTACCCTCCTACTATTATCGTGATATCAAATTTATCATTACGTTACATTTTTCATCCGCATTCCGTTAGTTCTGGTCCAACCAAAGTCTGGTTGGTTTAATACCATCAGAATATAGGGGAAATTCAATTTTGCCCTCAATTTTTGCTCATCTCCTCTCCGTCACTATCCCAGAGATAAGATTTGGGAACATACCAGCAATCCTTCACTGATAACGATGTAATTGCACGTATTTGCGCCCCTAGTTCTTATCCGTTTGAGGGGCATAGTCGTGTATTTTTTGCCTATTTTACGCCAGGTTGTGCTATTTTGTCATATTTCAGGTCCCAGGCATCAAAGGAAAGGCTAACCACGAGTTTCGGGGCATTCGGAAGTCATTTCGTTGAGCTGGAGCCAAAACACGGGCACACCTAAAACAGAACACGGCCGTGTTCTGTGGCCGTGCTTTTACTGCCGAGAGCTAATTCGAGTTTGGCAAACATGAGCTGATTACACGGGCTGAAAGCACGGCCGTGTCCCCCCAAAGCACGACCGTGTTCTCCCAAAAGCACGGCCGTGTTTCTCCCAACACAATGGCCGTGTAATTAACCCTAGCCAAAGCACGGGCGGGCTGAGGCATTACACGGCCGTGCCCTCGACCGTGCTTTCGCCACTGATGCCCTTTTAAGCAGGTTTCAGCCAAAACAGAAGGGGAGTCGAGTTTTTGAGAGAGAGAAAGATTCCTAGAGCGAGAAAGCGACGAACAAGAGTCTCCAAGTGCCCTAGATTGATCTTCAACACCATTGGAGGCCAGTTTGAGCTTGGAGAAGTGCCGATCAACGTCCAGGAGCAGGAATCCATCCTTCACAGTATGAATTCCGCGTCTGATTCTTCTTTTGCCTCTTTCTCCATGGAGTAGTTCTCCCATTCATCTGGGTATGGAGAACCCTAGATTTGTATGTTAGGCTTTGATTGTATGAACCCAAGTACTGATTCTATGATTTGATTATGTTCAATTGAGGTTTGAATGATTGAATGACTTGAATCCTGATCAAATTCCTGTTGTTTCTGCTTTAACCTAGAATGAGAATATCTGCCTAGGTTGATAGAGCATCCTTGATTGAAGGTAGGGAGTTGGTGACTTTAGTCGAGGAGCCAACTCACTATTTTGTACAGGATTTACTCCGGTAGTGGAGGTTTTGTTTGTTAAGGCCTCAATCTGTTTACTCCGGTGGAGGTTAGTAGCCCGCTAGAGACTCAGATTAAGAGGGTCTGAAGACCTTTAGTCGAGACTTCGGGCTGTTTAAGAACCTTCCGCAGTATAACTATCATAGAAACTGAACTTGGTAATTACAATCCGGCTTAACTGCAGTCTAGGGGGAATCATATACGGGTGACCTCTCTTAACCTGAATACAACTGTTTACTTGCTTTGTTAGTTTGTTAGTTAGACTTGCATTCCAGTTTCATTGCTAGATAACAAGAATTCACTGAGTAGTCATCAGATCTAGGACCCGGGTTGACATATAAACCTAACCCGCTATACTACGCTTTAGGAAGTGGTTTCACTTGGCCAATTCCTAGGGTGACAGTAGAAGTGAGTCATTCACCTTCCTCTAACCTCCGACTCCGACCCCACCATCTAATTCTGTCATAGAATTCAGCTCGTCGCCATCGTGATTGTCGCCCTTTTCATGTGCCATTAACCCTTTTTTCCAAACATTCAATCAAAACTCCATACCTAAATCTAGGGGTGAAAGTTTGTCCCGGAAGACCCACTGACCCGTCCCTACCCGTCCCGTCCCTAAAGGTCGGGACGGGTCAGTTTGTCTACAGGGACAGATTAGGAACGAGTCATTTGTTGACCCTGTAAGGGTCGGGACGGGTCGGGACAACTTAGGGATGGGTTACGTTTTGACCCTGTGACCCTTAGCAACAACAAATATCTCATACTCCATTGGACCTTTTTGTAAAGTTTTAAAAGTTTAGGTACTAATTTGTAAAAATAAAAAAATTTGGGTACGAAAACATAATTCTACCATAAAAATTTATGGACTTATTTGTAAAAAAAATTAGGTACTAAATTGTAAGAAAAAATAATTTTAGGTACCAAAACGTAATTTGTAAAAAAGTAGTGTGTTGATTAGGGTCGACCCACTGACCTGGCCCGTTCTGTCCCGTTCCAACCCTTGAGAGTCAGACAGGGTCAAGAAGGAGACAGGGACGGGACGGTTATACATCTTGACCCTTCAGAGACGGGTCAGACAGAGACAGGGACGGGACAGAGACGGGACAGACAAATTTTCAGCCCTACCTAAATCCAATATTTCCAAATCCCCGGCAAATCAACAGTCGTACCCGATGAGTGAGTCAGATGTCCAATCGGCTCCATCCTTCCCATGCCGCCACCGAGTGAACCCTTATCCGAACCCATAATCCGCTTCCCTAATCTAAAAATCAAAGAAACAACTCATTTATCTCTTATTCAATCTGTTGGAATTTCTTATAAAAAAAATCTGTTGGAATTAGCTTTTTGAGATTTCAATTTTGGATGGGTGTTTTAGATGGATGATTAAGGTTTTGCAGGTGCAGGCTTTATCATCCAAGTCGTCGTCGGCTCCCGAAGCTCGTAACATAAACTTCAAACCACGCCATAACTCTTAGTTGGAAACCCAGATCTCATTATCTAGTCCCGGCGTTATCATCGTCCCGTCACTTTAGTTGACAAGCAGATCGTCGTCCCAGGCCTCGTGGGCGTCGATGTTGGGAAGAACCCGCCGACCGATCTGATCCCGTGTTCGTTGATCTGTTTGTTAAGGAAATCTTTTCATTTGCGTTTCAGGCATGGTTTCGATTGATTCTGTCATAATGGTGGTGCGTGTGCATCAGGGGCCGCCATTGATCTAGTTCCACCGTCGAAACTGGCTTCACCTACCTCCACCAGAACTTCTCTGTTTTTGGTTGAGGAAGGTAAAGTGTAATTAGTAGGCCTAAACATGTAATTTTACCTAGACTCAAGCTTGGTCTAACCTGGTTCATGGAGGTTAGACGAAAAAAGTAACAGAAGGGCAGATTTCAGTATGTAATTATGACGAGGGGCAAGTTTGATGTAAAAAATAATAGAGGGGCAAGTTTGAGAAAATGCAATAGCAGAGGGGCAATTTATGATATTAACCCAAAAATATTCATGTTTTGTTTCTCTTGAAACGATAACTTCGTTTTCATTTTAATATGTTTTTTGTTGAGAAAGCTATAGAAAATAAAATGACAAGTGAACGAGTAAATTCTCATTTACTCACTACCAAACTCAAAGTGCAGGTCATCTCTAGTGGTGGAAATCAGTACGGTATCGCTATCCCAATATCAAATACCGAAATCTCGAATACGAATTACACCATAAACTCAGTCTCAATCCCAATTGCTAAATAATTTCAGTATCCCAATCTCAATCCCTAAATATTCTGGTATCCCAATCGGAACTTCGGTATCCCAATCGGTATTATCGAATACGAAATTAATTATCTTTGCAATTAAATATATAAATTTGATTTTATTGTTTAATTTAGGGCAAAGAGTCTTGAGTTTGCCTAGAGGTAGGATACAGATAATGAGAATGGAGGAGATCTGACATCTCAAGTTCGTGTAATTGGTAATCTTTAATTTGACGAAATGGAGGTTGAGAGACGACTAATACTAGTGTTTGCATTTTAAAGTTATGGAAATAACAAGAGATATTAGGTGAGTAACGAGAGTGACTTAAATTGAACAGTCAAATTTGAGTTGGATGGGGACTTCTAAGTTCTGAAATAGTGATGGAATGATCTATGTATAATTAAATGATACTCTTGGTGGTTGAGGGTCGTGTAGTAGTTGATAGAGAGTCTAGTTGAGAGGATAAAATACACACTAGCTTATATTTCGGTATTGATCGGTATATACCGATCCCAATCTTGTAAACCCTAATACCGAATAACAATTGAAATTCAATCTCAATAAATAATACTTGTATTCGGTAATACCAAATATAGACAAATTCGGTACGGTATTCGGTATATTCCAAATACCGATACCAAACTTCCAGTACTAGCATCTCAATGTATGTAACCTCCAAATGTGGAGAATTTCTGGTTTATTCATGTCTAATTCTGGGGAA